CTGTTGTAAAGTTATACAGCTACAGTTGTGTTGCTGGGTTTTAAAGCAGGTTTATTTTTTTATTTCTTCCTTATCAGTCTGTATTTACAGCAATTTCACTGTCCACTCTGTTCAAATGTGGATGAATGGCTACACATAGATGTGTGCAGAGCTGTGTGAGATCACTACCATCCTGCTTTTGTGGGGGTGGGTAGGGGTGTTAAATAATGATTTATTTATGTTTGTTTTGTTTTTCCCCCATAGGTTTTTAACATTCTAAAAGCTCTTTATTATTAAATTACATTTACATTACATTTAGTCATTTAGCAGATGCTTTTATCCAAAGCGACTTAGAAAACAATGGAAGCAATCAAAACTAACAAAAGAGCAACAATATATAAGTGCAAATGACACGTCTCGGTTAGCCTAACACAGTACACGTGGCAAGGTGTATTTATATATACAGTTAAATTAAGTATACTGTTAAGTAATGCAAGTATTACATACAACAATAAAACAGTGCATTGACATACAAAAGGAAATTTAAGTACTTAAGCACTTAAGTACTTTTAGAAGCAAGTACTTCTGTACTTTTACTTAAGTAAAAATCTGTTTACTTGCAATGGAGTAATATTTGACCAGCAGTATCTGTACTTTCTCTCAAGTAATGGAGTTGAGCAGGCTTTGTCCGCCTCTGAGTAGTAGCAGTAGTAAAATAGTATGATCAGTCTCTCATATAGGGTTAATTATGTCTTATTTCTACCTGCGAATAAAAAGAAAATGACCTAACTTGACATTCGGAATGCAAAGATGTAAAAAAAAATGTATTCGAAATTCGGAACGCCCAAATTCCACAATCGAATTATATATATAGCCTATATAACGTATATATATATATATATATATATATATATATATATATATATATATATATATAAATCAAATCGAAAGTATATGGAAAACGGATCTACTTGCAAACTGTCCAGACAAGCAGTGTAGATTTTAACACCCAGTTCATATAAAGTCCACTTACCTTTATATCACCTATAACCTTGCACAGCAGAAAAAAGTCAACATTCAAAATGATATTGTGTGCAAAGCGAGAGAATCGCGCGTCTCTGGACGAGTTCATTCACTTCCTAGTGTCCTCCAGTCGCTCTTAGACTTAGATTCGGTCTTTACTCCCTTCAGTGAAGTGTGCTGTGCGTTTATCCAGATGCTGCTGATCCGCGAGCGCTGCTGTCAGGAGTGCTGCTGGTCGCTGAAATGTGAGGCGGCCGAGGGTTGGATGCAACTTGTCAGGTAGCTAGTTCAGCTGGTGTCATTTCCTCCTCAGTCACAGGGGTCTCCATCGGGGAAATTAATGTGTCATGAATTAAAAGAGTTTCAAACAGATTGTGATCTTGGCTTCATTATAGACTTTCTTTAGTAATTGAATTAGCCTAGATCATGGCAAGACATACCTATCTAACAAACAAACAAATGGTTAAATAAATGTAACTTTATTAGCTTATTACATTGTGTTACTGTGTATACATTTGAGTTGAAACAGCTCTTTCGGTCCTGCGGTCAAGCCAGACGCGCTTTATTACTGCGCGTCTAAGCGCGCACTTACGGTCTGGGTGCTGGGAGTGGTTAAAATGCATGTAAAGAAGCTGTCATAAAGGCGTTTCCTTTATACTTTTGCTGATATTTTCAATAGATTGCTGTCCACGGTGACCCAAAATATGTCTGCATAAAACGTAATTTAACCCTAAAAAGACCATAAAGCAACATCAGCATATTTATTTATTGCTAATTTATATCATGACATAAATAATACAATTTCAGGATTTTTTCTTGAACATTGGATTAATGTTTGTGAATACATCATTTTTTTTTTGTACATGAACATTTGTATTGTATATTTATTAATATACATATTTTATCAAAGTGAATATATATATATATATATATATATATATATATATATATACACAGTATATATATATACATGTGTGTGTGTGTGTGTGTGTGTGTGTGTGTGTGTGTGTGTGTGTGTGTGTGTGTGTGTGTCTGTGTACACCTTTAATCTGATACTTGTTTACGGTGACCCTGACTATTACTGTATTAATTTTCAAGTTAAATCTATTGTACACTCCAAATTTCAACGTGCATTCTCACACTTTCTCATAAAAAGCACTTACTCGTAAAAAGCTTTCCTTAATAGGTTTGCTCATTCCTCCAGTTGATTCAAGTCCACAGTCACCCTGACTATTACTGTATAACTTTTCAAGTCATTTTACTGTATGGTTCTGGAGAAAATTAATGACAAAATTACTCCAAAAAACTGCATTCTAGCAGTTGCACCATTACCCATTTTCAAACACTCATACAAATCTTTGCTTTATAAGTTTGCTCATTCCTTCAATTGATTCCTGTTCACAGTGACCCTGACTATTACTTGTGGCTGGGAGAGGGAGTTCACAGACACAAATAGCAGCTAGAGGGTGTTTTATTGTGACAATTGCAAATGGTGTATCAAATCAAGGTGAATACTATGAGGAAAGGCATGCTCGGTGCTGCAGGGCAGTCCTGTAGAGGGGTGGGCGAACCAGGGTGACCGTGTGGGGAAGGCCGGACGTCAGCCGCTGGTCTCTGCAACAAACAAAGAGCACACAGTTAGCGTCCTGCATAATCGGAGGCGAAGCTCAACCTCCTTCCCATCTCTTCCGTTTATATATCCTCCTCTTAATGATGTGCAGGTGCTGATGATCGGCACTCGCTCCCAGGTGTGAGGGCTGTTTCCATGGCGACGCTGATCTGGCACTGGGTGACTCGCCACATACTGTATTAATTTTCAAGTAATTTGACTATTTTTATTTTATTTTAATTATTTTTTTATTGTACAGAAATCTTGTAACCAATTATAGTCCTCATGCCTCTGCTGAACTCCTTGGTGTCATTCTGCCACAGCCTCTGCTGCAGTTTACTCCTATAATAATTTAATGATAATAATAATAATGCATTTTATTAGACACCTTTCAAGACTCAATAACACCTTAAAATAACAGTAGGCTATTGATTGATTGACTGCAATACAACCTAATGGAATTTAAACAAGAGTTTTTATCACGACTGAAATACAGAAATAAGTTGTGATAGGGATTATGTAACCTTTGTTATGACATTTCACAGATACAAATGCAAATGTCTTTTTTTTAATGCAATTAAACAAAAGCCTAATATGAGAAGATGATTTTAGGTGTATGCATCAGTGTGCAGAAGACAGTCAATAAATGTTCACAGGTGTTGAAGCCACAGTAGGCACTGTTGTGCAGTCTGATTGGATGTACAACAGAATGCTCGAAGTGCTGTTATTCCTTAAGATGCACAAAGTTGTTTTCTGAAATAAGAAAGGCAAAATAAATAAATAAATAAATAAATGTTTAATATATATTAATTGCATGTATTTATATAAAATGTATAATATTTATAAAAGTACATAAAATACGATAAAATAAAGTTAAGTCAAATTAAAATAAAAGTGCCATCATTTTCAAACTACGGCACTGATACTATATTACGGATTTTTTCTTTGTGTTGTCAACTGTCTTACCTTACCTGTGTGATCAGTGTCTTATTGTATCTGGATTTTAATTCAGATAGATCATTTAAAAATTTATCTCAATACAAATTGTAATTGATCGGTTACAGGTAGGAGAAACAAGAAGTTGCAGCTAAGCTGACTGATGATTACGGTAAACAGACACAGCAAAACATAATAGCTTTGCAGGCATAATCACCATAAACAAATACAACAACCTCAGGGCTATAAAAGCAAAGACATAAGAAATTTAACTAAAGGTTAGAAATTAGTAACCATGGACACAAATAAGGACTGCTCAAATGGGTGATGAACATAATCAGTTCCTAAGGTTAAAATGAAGATTTTAACTCAATTAAATGTGACACTAACAAATAAAATGTAAGAAAAGGTTGAGTGGATGACGTCAGGTCATGATGAGATGAGTATTTCCCAGCAGATAGTGAATTGGTGGGTTTTTGTTAAATGTGAGCCAAAATCATCACAATTAAAAGAACCAAAGATTTAAACTACTTCAGTCTGTGTGCATTGAATTTATTTAATACACGAGTTCACAATTTGAGTTGAATTACTGAAATAAATTAACTTTTCCACGACATTCTAATTTATTGAGATGCACCTGTATATAAAATAAGAGTCAGTTTCATATGGTAATAATCATGGTACGTTTGCACAATAATTCCTTCAAAAACGGAAACTTTCTGTTTGAAAATTGGACATGAGTGCAACAATACACTCTATAAAAACATTTTTGGAGTGAGTTTGCGTTTCCCAGAAACTGTAAAGTAAAATTACATGAAAATTAATACAGTAATAGTCAGGGTGACTGTGGACTTGAATCAACTGGAAGAATGAGCAAACCTATAAAGCAAAGATTTTTATGAGTGTTTGAAAATGGGTAATGGTGCAACTGCTAGAATGCACTTCATTTTTTTGAGTAATTTTGTCATTAATTTTCTCCAGAACCATACAGTAAAATGACTTGAAAAGTTATACAGTAATAGTCAGGGTGACTGTGGACTTGAATCAACTGGAAGAATGAGATTTTTAATTAAGGAAAGCTTTTTACGAGTAAGTGCTTTTTATGAGAAAGTGTGAGAATGCACGTTGAAATTTGGAGTGATTTGCCTTTAATTTGTACAGAAATTGTACAATAGATTTAACTTGAAAATTAATACAGTAACAGTCAGGGTCACTGTAAACAAGTATCAGTTTAAAGCTGTATACACACACACTGTTAATGTATATATTAACATTGATAAATTATGTATATTAATAAATGTACAATACAAATGTTAATGTACAAAAAATAATGTATTCACAAACATTATTTTTCAAAGTTCAAGTCGTTTAAAAAAAATCCTGAAATTGTATTATTTATGTCATGATATAAATTAGCAATAAATAAATATTCTGATGTTGCTTTATGGTCTTTTTAGAGTTAAATTACGTTTTATGCAGACATATTTTGGGTCACCGTGGACAGCAATCTATTGAAAATATCAGCAAAAGTATAAAGGAAACGCCTTTATGACAGCTTCTTTACATGCATTTTAACCACTCCCAGCACCCAGACCGTAAGTGCGCGCTTAGACGCGCAGTCCAAAAAAAGTGAGGCTGGCTTGACCACAGTCTTTCACTGGCACTTACTTAACTGTTACACTTAACACACACACACACACAAATCCAACATTTCTCTCTTCTGCATATTTACTTCTGCTTTAGCATACACATATGCATTTATGGTTTACAGGGACTTTTATACTGAGCTTTTGTTCTTGTAATACCTATGTCATTATGCTCGCTCACACACACACTACATATACATAGTGAACAGTCAGTTCTTGAACTTCATTTATTGGAAGCATGAAGCAAAAGACCTGGGTCCAGTTGCATAAACTTAGCCTCTATGTTAAGACAGTGTCTTACAGTTCTTCACATTTGCTAAGACACTAAACCCCATTCTCTGAACCAAATTCTCAATAGCCTAAACCAGTTTGTCAAACAAATCACTCTTTCTGCACAACCTTAAACAAGTTCAGGCAGTTTAGACACTGTTTGCACATCTCTTTTTGCAAAACCCGAAACACATTCTCACTCACTAAAACACAATTTGCACTGTGATAAACTTGTGATGCAAAACCCTAAACACAAGAAAGTATGTTACAACACGGCTGTCATCGTTTGCACAAAATAATTCAGAACTGTTCACACTCGTTTCTAAATACAATATGCAAATGTACAAAATACAAGCCAGTTCAAAGTGCACAGATGGCATGGGTGGTGGAGGAAGAGGAGGACGAAGAAGAGCCAGGCCAAGAACAGTCATTTCAGATGAAATCAGAGCTCCTGTGATCGACCATGTTCTTGTGTTGGAATGACAGAGGCAGGACAAAGAGCTCAACATCATTTGAGCAGATTCTCTGTGGCCACCACAATCAGTTGGAAAGTTCAAAAGAAGAGTGGAAGAGAATCTTGTGTAGAATTGCAAGCCTACCACGTTACGTAAGGTGGAAAAACTGGCCTGTGGTGGCATAAACGTGCGGTCTTGTCAAGGCTGGATCCGTCACAGCAGAGGGGTTTTTCCCTGTTGCCCACCTGCGACAGATTCTCGAAGATTCTTCTAAAATGCCTATTATACAACATATTACAAGTATATTCATATTAATGCGGGACACAAAAGGCACCTGTTTTGTATAATAGACCATATATTTACTATAACTAAACATTGCTTTGTCTGCAAGATGTTGAAAAAGAAAATTATAACCTGAGATAGAGATAAAATGAGGCAACTGGGTGCTAGAAAGAAGCCTTTCTGGAAGGCTTTTATGTTTAGAAAGACCATTCGATTAATTGTGTTGAAAAACTCCAGCTTATACTGTAATAGACCGTACATTGTCCTCAAAGTAGCAATAGTTCAGACTTCTGAATTTCATGAACTATCATCATTAAGAGTCTGCAGCACACTCTTAAGTATTGAAGCAAATCCTCTGATGGCATGCTGGTTTACGGGCTGCTGTTTGACAGATACCACCAGGCTTTCATCACTGCCAGGGGCCTGCGGGTCCCCCTGCAGCAGTTCGGCGAGGATCAGGGTCCCAGTGCTCCTGGTGTAAATGTAGGCCTTCCACGGCACAGTGTCTCCCGGGGTGAAGGCCAGAGTCTGGATCTTCACCAGCTGTAAAGCAGCCTGTAACATATCCAGAGCCGTTCTGGGTAGAGGGGAACCCAGAGTTTGCCTGTGGAGAATCTCCAAGTCCAGCCACATTTTCTCAAAAGTCTCATGGGATAGAGGAGGACCCAAAGATAGACTGATCTCCTCTTCTGTGTCATTTGGGCTGGAGAGGGTTACATCTTTACTTCCTGTTAGTCAGAGAAACACGGGTTTACATGTTACATGATTAGTATTGCATTTATTATAAAATTATAAATTATATGTAGAATACTATAATATTTATTTATATTATACATATTGTATATTTAAATCACAATTCATTCAAATTATGTACATAATAAAAAATATTTACTGTCAGGATTATTATAATTAACTAAAACGGATTTTTATTGAATTATTTAAAAATTATAATTATTATAAAATTATTTAAAGTAAAATAAACATTCACCAAAATAAAATAAAAGAACAAGGTAACATTTTTACATTTTTGTTTAAAGCTGAGGTACAAAAATATCTACTATAGTAAACTTAGAAATAAAATAAAATATAAATTATACAGACATAAAAAAACAGGTAGGATGAGACAGTAATATGTTGTTATATTAGTATTTAATTTATTATAAAATTAAATGTATAATATTAAAATGTACTTAATGTATATTTAATTAAATCACAATTAATTAAAATTAAGTAAACAATAAAAAATTAGTTATTACCAGGATTATTATTATTAACTAAAACTGATAAAAAAAACTACTTAAAAAAAAAAACATTAACCGAAATAAAATAAAATATAATATAAAAAAACAAGGTTACATTTTTTAATTTTCCTTTAAAATTGAAGTACTAAAATAACTAAAACTAAATAAACTAAGAACTGAAACTTAATTTAAAAAATATAGATTAAAAAGAAAGAAAAAAAAGTAGGATGAGACAGTTTTACGATATCATATTACTACTGAATTTATACATTTATAAATTAAATTGATAATATTATAGTTTAATTACATTTAAATAACAATTAACTCAAATTAAATTAAAAATAAGATAAGATTAAAAAAAGACAGTCTTTCATTTTATCTGAAATAAAATTTATTTTTTTCTAAATACACTTTTAAAATTTAATTTTATCTAAATACACTAAAACTTAATTTAATAAAAAAATAAAATATATATATATATATATATA